TAGGCAGATACTACTACTAAGAAAAAAAAGACAAGATTTTGCACACACAATTCTATAAAATATTCTTCAAATGTACTTGTGATAAAGAAATTCAAAGGTTTTCTTCGTCCATCTTACAAAATAAGCCCTTAAGGCTGATGATACATGGGGCAACGTTGCCGTCAAAGGGTAACCAGGTGAGGCACAGGCACGACTGATATAAAGGATCCAGGTAGAAATTTGTAACCCATTCTCAATAGGAAAGTGCCCAAGCAACACTGCTCAAAAAAAGTTGCCCGGCAAAATTGCTCAAAAAGTTGCCCCGTGTATCATTAGCCTAAAAGCTTGTCCTGATAAAAACCATTGTCTTTCGCAGACCAAAATCATGTTTCATGGACAAGTTGGTGCTTCTTCACCCTTCAGTAAATGTCCATGTGTCAGTCTAGTGTGGCCTATTCACACCTGCTATATACAACTTGGCCGTGTCTTGATTTAAAGGGGTAGTTGCATCTTTTTCCCACCTGAGAATACATTTCAAACAGTTTATTTTGACATTCTTGCCATTTCTCTAATATGCATTGGTTGATTAAGGGTTTTGTGTCCTTGGGTGGGATTTTCTAGAGATGACAGATACAGCTAGGATTCAACACAACGAGGACCTCCATCAGTGTCCATGTGCCGGCTGTCTGGTGCAGCAGATGAAACCGATCACATCTGATCACTCTACTCAACACACACGATCTGAGGAATCATTCATGTCTGCAGCAAGACGCACACACTCAACTTTAATAGTGCTGGAGGTTTCCGTGAAAATAAAGCTGATGAGAGTGTGTTTAATGCAGTAACGCTGAGAGAGAAAGAGAGAGAAGCAGACAGACAGAAATGTTGATATATGCACACAGAAAACTCATCATTTGAGGCCGTTTCAATGCGATGCGTGTTCACAATGTGCGCGTCTGTTCTTTTGTGTGCGATGATTGGCATGGCTGCTCCTTTCACAGCACTAGCTGCTGTTTTTGTTCAGCCTTTGTAAATGATTTGCGTTTACTCAGCGGTAATGCTTGTGTTTGCCTCCGAGCCCACAGATGCTGATATGAACCGTGTGTGTGTGTGGTGTATTGGCAAGGCGTTGCACTAATTCAATATGTAAATGACATGTAGGAACCCAGCGAGCAGTCAGACGCGCAGCTCAATGCAGCAGTAATTGCATTTGCATCACAGCAATGGCTCTCAAATCTCCCTCTCTTATGGAAATCCTCTCTCCACTTCATTCTGCAGAACTGTGTGGTTTTGAAAAGGCCTCATTCTTCAATGACTAATTTTAATAACATTTGCATATTCATTACAATTAAGGCGACTTTGAGCTTTTGATTTTTAAGTTAATTTGTATTTCTCAAGTGACGACAAAGACAATAGCAGAAATTACGTGGAATTAACGATTGCAGCACATTCCCCAAAAACTAACCTTGCAAATGAGAAAATGTTACACTGTGAGGATTTGATAGCCAGTTCCTGATGATTTTTTTTTAATCTGAAGGGTTTTCAGCTGCATCTCAGTTCCTAAAGGAGGCCATTTGGACGCTGATATTACAGAAGCATTGAACGTAATCTCTCTTATCTCTGATCCAGCACTCGCTCTGACAGCCTCATATCAGCCGTGAGACGCCACAAACATCAGCTCAGAGACCACTGTCAGCAGCTGTAATGAAATCCGTGTAGAGCGCATCCGTTAGCCATGGAATAAATGGTCAAACAAGAATGTATTCTGACAGACTCAACCCTGAGCAATCAGTGTGAAACAGCGTCTCTATGAACACTTCAGAGCAGGTCTGAGGGATGCTTGAATACAGTGCTAGTGAGAGGGGGACTGCTGCATTAGTCAGTGTTTGCATGCTCTAAAGAACAGTTAAAGCTCTTCTTAACAGAATTAATCACAAAGTGATTACAATGACAGAAAGCCAGAATGCCCTGCTCTCAGCCCATCGTGTGCCCGAGTCGCCCTCAACCCCCGCATGCACAGATCGCTCTGCTTTAACCCGAGCGCTTTTACTTAATTTACTTAATTAACCAAAGGTCAAAGGTCACGCTCTGAGAGGAAGTGCTGCTGAAACAGGAACATGAGCCTCTACTGAAACTACAATGAACTGATAAAGGACACACAAACACGCAGTCTACATAAGCAACATCACGACTGAGATGGAACCTCATAAGGGACTGATTTGGAGTGCCCTACATAGGCGGCAACTCCACACAGCACATGCAGCACACAAAACACTCAGAAATGTGGGATCAAATGCCTCACTAGTGGGTTGGCAAAATATTTTACAATACAAGTGAGGATATTTGGCCCTCACAAGTATAGTTAAACCAGTACACACACGCAGTTCCAATAGTAGTAGTTCATTTATAATTACACTAAACGTCCTATCTCTGCTTGTCTAGCTAGATTGTTTTTGGTGTACAGTGGGCTGCATTTGTCTAAACTAATCAATGACACTAATCAGTGATGCCTGCAGCGAGTGTCTGTTCACAGAAGAACTGTTCAAACGAAGATTCATTCATTATGAACCACTGAAAGTCCCTCATCATGCTGTAGCTACTCAAAGAGGTAAAGCTGATCTGGAAACAGTTCTATTCAATGTTTCCTAAAGTACTGCAGCAGGTCCATTCAAGAGAGTAACAGATGCCCTGCAATAATGAATGATATTTAACGTATTAATATAAGAATTTCTGACCTAATATTAAGTAAGAAATTCATGCGTTATTTCTCCAGGCCATAAATATATAATGCAAACACAGTGAGTGTCACAGAGACGTACTTGATGGAGTTCCTGAAGTGATCTTCTGCAGGGTTTTTGACTGTGCAACTGTTCAGCAGCCACAGATCAGCGTCAGACGGGTTCTCTGGAGAAACAGAGACAGACAGGAGCAAAACATATTAATATTACTGCTGCCATCACAAATTACTCGCATAGTCATAACACAATACTGTGGTTTATACTCTATATACAATACTATGGGTTTAACACAGAAACATCGACCTCCCTGCCGTAAGAGTGATGCTAAACCATCAAACGATCAACAGAGCCGGAGAACAGCGTCACTACAGTCAAATACCCTCAATAATAACCAGCACGTCTACAGAGAAGCAAACTATGACTTTAGACTGGTGGTACTTACCTCTTGTCTTGTTTTATGCTCATAGTTTTATTTGTAATTTAAATAGTGCACATACACCAATGACTCAATCCAGCTCTTGTCATTACTAATAAGAGCTTATTAAAATAATCAAGTCACTCTAATAAAGCAGAGTCCGTCTGTGTGAGTCATTGCAGAGAACAGATATGATCAACGCTGACCGTTTACATCGCTTTTCTGTAGTGGTTCAACGGATCACAAATCTCACGGTTCGGATCACATTACGGTTTTTGACCCACAGATCGGATCAGCAAGAAAAGAAAAATATTTCAATTTAACTTGCTTTCTATTTATTACTTAAAGCGAAATACTTCTTCGATACACGGTTTTTGACCCACGGATTTCTTGCTCTGATCAGCAAGAAAATAAAAATATTTCAATTTAACTTGCTTTCCATTTATTACTTAAAGTGAAGTACTTCTTTGATACCTCAGCAAATACTACTAGATTAACTAAGAAAGTTTAAACATGATTAAAGACAAGAGAACAGCCAGTAAAAATAAGAACAAATACACAAATTACAAGCATAGATAAATACAACAGAATATGTTACAAATAAAATAAGGCTGGTAGTATTCAAATACAGAAATGTAATAATTAGGGAAAATAACACTGCATAGCGTTCACTGTATAAATTAGGCGCGAGAACGTCGCGCGAGTAACTAATCGAGTTCCCTTTCGCCTTTTCTTTCTGGGATTGTTTAAAATTCGCTTGCTTGTGTAAATACGAACAAATGATAAACTTATACTCTATTATGGTTAAATTTTGCAATTAATCCACGGATCACATGCGTGCCGAACCGTGGGGCTTGGTCCGTACGGATCACGGATCAACTACCATCCGTTTAACCACTACTTTTCTGTGATTTTCATTCAGGATGATTGCTTAATCATTTCATGGAAACTGTCATATTTCCATTTGTATGTCAGGTCGTAATATTTAGAATGAACAGTTTGAAATGATTATGTGCACTGGAGCACAAACGACTCTAATAGGATCTGTAACATGATCTAATGCTGCTTTACAGGAGCGTTTCACACGACACACACCTGAGGTGATCTGCTGTCTGAACTCACACACACACACACACACCCACACTCACTCACTCACTCTCACACACACACACACTCACTCACTCACACACACACACACACACACACACACACTCACACACAGAGAGTTTGTGAGTGTTTCAGCGATGAATCACACAGGATTTCTTCCTCTCTCTGCTCCGAGTTCACTCGTGTAATTGCAAAGACATTTTTGTACAGCTGATCAGCACAGGTATTATAGTTCAAAAATAATAACTGTGCAACTTTAAAGATATAAAGGATTTATTCATCCTCATATTGTTCAAATCATATAAAAGGAGACGTGTCTCTTTTGCATGCAGTGAATGTGAATGCAGAGAGGCTGTTAAGATCCAAGCATGACAAGTTTATGTGTGAGTCTAAATCAGTATTTGAAGCTCTTTCTCAGGGAGCACAGCTGTATGTTTGGACAGGAGGAGGAAATCGACAGCAAAGAGAAAGGAGGAGAACAAGAAGCGTCCAAAACACACCTGATCCTGGTCTCCACATTTACCTGAATGAATGCTGGAGCAGGAATAAATCAGTGCTTCACGAACACTCAACACTGAACAGTGTTTTCAAGAAGTGAAAACATTCACTTACTGTGCGTTCACACCGCCGGCGGCGAGAGCGTCAAAAGATCGCCCTGGCCGCGCTACCCACAACGCTGACCACCGGCGGCGAGAGCGTCAAAATTCGCCCTGGCTGCCCTGTAGACGCTCCACGATCGGTCTCTATTTAAAGGGGCCGCAAACATACCAAACAAGCGTTCTGATCTTGTGCAGACTTACCACAAAAAGGGTATAACCTTATGATATATCTTAAATGTGAAAGTAAAAAAAATATTAATGGAAAGAACTTAACAATATACTTACATGTTTGCTAACGAAATAAACCAATTAAAAGCTATTTGTGTGGCGTGGCTTTTGTGTTCTCATTTCAATATTTTAAATGTATTTAAAAATGTATGTAAAATTTTTTTTGAATATATATTTATTGTATTTAATTAACAATAATTTGTACCATTAATTTGTGTGCAGCCTACATTGAAAACAGTCCTGGTTAAAGTGTAGCCTTAACCCTTTCATGCATGAATGATTAAATCACAAAGTAAGATTTTTTTATATTTATTTTTTAAACCAGCGAAAAATCATGCAAATAACTTTTTTCAATATATTTTATTTTGAGGGAGTTACATATCTGTCTACTGTAGTGGACACCGTGAATAAAAGGTTTAATGTAATTGGTCATGGTTTTACTACAGTACCTGCGTTTGTTTTTGTGGTAACCTCAGTAAAACCATGGTTAATTTACATAAGGGTTTGATCAATACAACACATATTTTTCGTTTAACCCAATAGGTTTCATCATGTCAGAAATATTTTGCAACATCCTCTGGCGCGAAAGTTAGCACGCAATTCCCGCTTATTTTCAGAAAATATATAACGTAAATGCGCATTCGCAACTCACCAGAAACACCAACAACCTCAGACACCTTGGTCCAAGCAACATTTTTTATTTTCACGTCTCTGTACACAGACAGAGACACATCATAAATGACTGGGAAACCCGCCACAGCAATAATTAATCTCTCTTCCATTTTGATTAGGAACTAATGTGTGGTCGGAACCAAAGTTTACAGGACTGCGTTCTCTGGGACCCTCTCAAGCGGAGGAATTCTACATTCCGATTGGTTGCCGCCCAACAGCGTCATAGTTCATTACCATAAAGTTGAACTGATTTCAACTCTCCTTGACGCCCTCGCCGGCCAAGACGCGCCGCGCCGCTCCTCGCCGCTTTTCGCCGCCCGCTCACATTGAAAATGAATGTCTTCCGGTCACTTTGACGCTCTCGCCGCCGGCGGTGTGAACGCACAGTTACATAACCTGCAGAGATCTGGAGCCGCTCAACGGACAAATATCTGCATAGTAAAATTTAAACGAGCCTCAAGTACAACAGGATTCATTATTAACCAGATTTACAAAGGGACAAGAGTCAATTCCCACCATTCCCACTGAGAAATGTGCAGAATCACTGGCAACACAAGTGTAAAAGTGTAGAATCCCACACACACAAACAAACACACACTTACTTTCTATCCTTTTACTCTAACCCTACACCTAAACCTACCCCTCACACAAAACTACAGGCATTTCACATTCTTAAAACACTTCATTCTGTGTGATTTATAAGCTTGTTTCCTCATGGGGACCAAAACATGCCCTCACAAGGTCAAAATTTACTGGTATTACTTTCCTTTTGGGACATTTGGTCCTCATAACGTAGTGAATACCAGTACACACACACACACAGACACACACACACACACGCACACCCACTCTCTCACACACACACACACACACACACACACTTTCTCTCTCACACACACACACACACACAGCTGCTCACATGTTCTCTAGAAGTCATTTGCATATATTTGCCTGTAGGCTAGAGCTCAAACAATCGCAAAGGCAGTTTTGGGTAAAATCTGTCTTCGGTTGAATGAACTCACTGCAACCGTCCTTATCTGAGTCACAAAAGACGTTCCACCACCAACAGCCAAAACACACTCAAACACAGCGCTGTGTCAGCGTCACACACCAACACAACAACATCTCAAAGCACATAACTCAGCCCTTCATTCATTCAGCTCATTCTGCTGCAATGATGCTCACAGCAGTCTTTTGACCAAAAGCACAATCCAAAAACAGATCCAGACACCAGCAACCTTCTGTTCAAATATTATGTTAACCACTGTTTACTGACATCTTCAAAACCGCAAATGACACAAAACATCCTCTCAATCACACGATCGAGCGATGAGCACATCTGGAGCGACTGAAGATTGCAAGGATTCTCAATTTGCGAATTGAGAATTCGTTGATTGCAACGATTCCCATTTGCGGCGCCATGTCTGATTCTGAATAGCAACCTGTGCGTGTGAGACCGAGAGAGAGGACGTGTGTCACTTAAAGACAAAGACCAGACCCGTCTGCTCTTTTTCATTCACCATTTATAATCATAATCATAATAATTCTGAGCTAACTTCAAACTTAGAGGGAGGCTGAGAGACTTACAGTTATGTGCGCTGTAATCAGGTCAGCGCTGACGACACTAGAACTCAGAGCTAGCGCAGGACCGCTAACACTCAGAGCTAACGATGGACCGCTCACACTCAGAGCTAGCGATGGACCGCTCACACTCAGAGCCAGCGATGGACCGCTCACACTCAGAGCTAGCGCAGGACCGCAAACACTCAGAGCTTGCGCAGGACCGCTAACACTCAGAGCTAGCGCAGGACCGCTAACACTCAGAGCTAACGATGGACCGCTCACACTCAGAGCTAGCGATGGACCGCTCACACTCAGAGCCAGCGATGGACCGCTCACACTCAGAGCTAGCGCAGGACCGCAAACACTCAGAGCTTGCGCAGGACCGCTAACACTCAGAGCTAGCGCAGGACCGCTAACACTCAGAGCTAACGATGGACCGCTCACACTCAGAGCTAGCGATGGACCGCTCACACTCAGAGCCAGCGATGGACCGCTCACACTCAGAGCTAGCGCAGGACCGCAAACACTCAGAGCTTGCGCAGGACCGCTAACACTCAGAGCTAGCGCAGGACCGCTAACACTCAGAGCTAGCGATGGACCGCTAACACTCAGAGCTAGCGCAAGGCCGCTAACACACACTGACCCTAAACACATCACACAGACACACACTGTCCTGCTGTGCCTCTCACACGGACAAAAGATTAAACCTTAAACAGTGACGATTCCTTGAGCTCAAAGAGAACAACAGGATCTTAATGAGCTGAAAGCCAAATGAATCAATGAGGAAATCATATTTCTGATCACGTGCTCATACAAAACCATTCACCAGGTTCCTGTACTGTTTGCTGCTTTCACAGCACGGCTGCATGGAGCTGAACATCAGACAGATGAAGGTCAGGTGCAGTATGGGTCACGGCTGATGGACAGAACAGATGCAGCGTGTAATGCTCAGAACACATGCGTGAGCCGTAAGAACTCGTGTCCTGGAAACAATGTCTAACATCTCAACACATCTTCTGTATGCTGATGCTAAGATAACTGCGCTCCTGTCAAAATATTTCAAATGGCCAGTGAAATCAAAGAAAGTGCACATCACTGTTGTAAGGTAGCCTAGAAGAACATGAAATTTGATGTTTTTTGTTTGTATGTTTATTACAAAAGAAAAAATGTTAAACAACTGACAGTAATCTCCAGTGATGCTACTGTCAAATTTTGCCATTTTGAATAGAAAACATCCAATATAATTTACATGAAATTACATGTAATGTGATTCATATTATGAAATGTATGTGAATGTGACGTGACAAGAAAGACAAACAGCATATTAGACATAAAATCAAGATGAATGTGTGTAAATTGTAAATGAATGTAGTCGACATGGAAACCTGCCGTTCCTGGAAGCCTTGTAGCAAAATAAAAATATAATTTACATATAGTTCAAATGCATAACTTCACAGTAATGTTTTAATTCTTCTATTCTCTTCAATAAAAATAATTATGTGTGTCAATCTGTATGACAACTCTCAGCCAAAATATGATCGTGACAGTCCTATTTCAAACCTCTTTTCATGTACAGCCTAAATATTCTGAAGCTTAAATAGCAATAATAAAACACTCAATAACTAAACAAGACAAACAGACAAAACAATCTCGCTCCTCAAGCATTTATTCCACTGGTCTTGTGTGAATGTGCTTAAAGTGAACATTAATAAACCTCATCGACTTTGATGAGCAAGTGCATGTTTGTTCGTCAGCTTATCGCTGTAACTGCAGTCAATACAGTGATGCTTTCTGATGCTTTTCATGTCCTGCTGCCAAAGCCACTCAGAAGAAAGCATGTTAAACACTTCAAGAGCCTTATTTTCATCTTATTTTCCTAATATAACTATTAGCACTTGCAAAACCACAAAATAAGCTTTTAAAACTCCAAGTCTTATGGACACAAAGCACTGAGTCTTCAAACTCTCAGCTCCTGTGTTCTTGTGTTTTTCACTGTCCTGCAGCAGTATAACACCCCTCACCACTCAGTGTATTTGTGTCGTCAGAGGAGTCTTTTTGTTTGTCTTTTGAGGAGTAATGACAATAGTTGAACAAGGCTGTTGTGAATACTTCAGTACGTGGGGGATCGTTGTCTCCTGTCAGATGTGTTCATAAGTGTGGCGAAGTGAACAAATATTCAGGTGGAGTCGAGGCACTGTCAGGGGACGATGAGAGGCCCCGGGGTTCATGCCACACTCCATTCTGTCATTACATTTAACCTGCTGCTGGGGCCATTACTGGCACACTTCAGTACGAGCGGCTCCATTAGAGCCCCTGCGGTCCTCAGCGCCAAACCCCGAGCCTAATTACATCATAGCCCAAGGAGAAGAAATCTACAAGCAGAAATACAATGGTGACGGGTCACACGCCGGCGGTGCCCTCCTGCTGGACTCCCAGGGTGTTCAGATGGACCGGGCTCCAGACCGAGGTAATTGTGCCCATTTAAATGTGCCTGCCAGGAGAAGAAGAGCCGGTGTGTGGACAGAGAGGACAGGCTCTGCATTTTATGATGGTCCTGCTCTCTTTGGGCTCACTTCACGCTGGAATAAGCTCTCAGACAATCCAGTCAACTGGGGAAGCTGCAGCAGCTCTGTTTGGAGAGAGACAGGACCAACCAAAGCCGTAACCAGTCTGATGTGCAGATGTCCACGTCACCAAAGCTGTGCTCCATCCAGAGATTTGGGAAATTAAATTCACTTCAATCTGTCGTCATCACACGAGGGCCCACGATCAGTCCAAAAGGGACCATAAACACCTTCCTGAAGCAGGTCACAAGTGTGCTAAACCTTA